GTTTTAAATTGTGTCTGTATCTGTGTATGTATGGTTTGCTTCATGAACGAATCTTTGTTGATAGCCAGTCAGCTTGCAAAGTACCATCGTCTTAGAGAAATCAATTTCACGTGAGCCAGCCACTTAAAATAATGATCAGCCACAGCAGAAGTATTGGTCCTGCCGTGTTTCAGATCTGCCTTATGTTCACGAACATGGTCCGAGACATGTCGTTTGGTTTCCCCAATGTAACTGCTGCTGCAGATACAGCTTAGTTTGTAGACGCCGGGATATTGCATGTCAGGAATCTTGTCCTTCACAGATGGGATGAGGTCACGAATTTTATGCACTGGTTTAAATCGGACCTGAATCTTGTGTTTGTTCAAGATTTTGGAATTATTTTTGGTTATCCCTGCTATGTAAGGTAAGGTGATAGTTTTGGTTTGATCTTCAGATGACTCTTTCCTCACGGTTGGGGTGATGGCTTTGCGGATTGTTCCAATATTATGCCTTTTGGCGTCATCTGGTCCAACCCATGTGAGATTAGACTCTAAGGAAAGCTGTCTCGGGTGTGGACTAATCAACTTCAAGGACAGTGCACATTATCAGAGTTATGTTTTTTTTTGCATTATGACTGCAGGTATTGTGGTCTATGCAAACATGACTCCTTGTAAAAATGGTGTCAGTTTTGTTGCCAGATGGAAGGGTAAAAACCCAATTATCGTGTCTAAACTTGTCCGATTTCAGAAGCAGAGTTAAGTCTGGATCATGCTAGGATAGGCGACCACCATGCATGACAGGTGCTATAGGCTATAACCTCCAGTGCTGTGGTGGACAGCAGAGGGCAGTGCAGTAAAATCCATTGTTGCACTGTACTTGTATGCTCCTACATCTGTGTCCCTCACCTTGACCAACCCACACTGACCAGAGTGGTAAAGTATTGGTCAAATAACCCACATTAACTGCAGTGGCATGGGGAGGCCCTGATTCAGCAGTGGATACACAGAGAGCTGTACATGTGCAATATATTGGAATCCAAAACTTTTTAAATATATAATTACATACCGAGTTACAACAATGCTATATATTTCAAAATATGCAGTGTTTTGTGTTCATATATTGCAGTTGTATGCAGTATATGCCAAATCGCATTCAATAATGTGAAACCATTTGCAACCCATTTGCTCGATTTTCCAACTCCATTGTTCCCGCTGAGAATGATGATGATGCAGGTGTGAGTGCGTGTGTGTGTGGGAGAAGTTAACTGATAGTATATTTGCACACTTGACATTCACACATTTGCATGCCAGTGCTTGGTATCGATGTGAGAATGCCGGATTTCTCATCTAGAAAAACTAAAATAACAGTGTATGGATATTCACACAACGTGGATATCCCCTCCGTGACAAGGGCCTGCAGGCTTGCTTCCCGCTCTGCGCTTGATTCGTGCGGCTATTTTGTGTCCGTCGTTCTGTCTCTACCCATCGACGCGAGGGCCGCTTTGTAGAAAATTGGATCCATTTGGCATTTTGCAATTCACGTGCCTCCTGTTTCTGAGCCGAGACGCCCCCAGGTCCATCCCGCTGCTCCGTGCCGCCATTGAGTAATGTGGGGAATCCGGCCTAGCGAAACGGTAGCGAAAATTTTTGGTGGATACTATCTTATCTTTAACGAATTTATATAGCGCCTTATTCAAGGTGCATAATTAGTAGTGGTGGAGACAAGGTGAATGAAATAGATGGAAGGAAGCAATAGGCAAATTTATGATGATGCGTTAAATCGGTGAAAGCTAAATTGATGACAGTCGGTGATGATGAATGGATTGAATGAATGGGGGATGAGTGGGAGCCATACGAGAATGTGAAGATGGAAAAGTAATGGTGGCGGATATGAGGTGGAGATTAATGCTAGGGAAAATAAGTGAGTTTTGAGTGCGGAGCGTAAACTAGTGAGCGAAGATGGCTGTTTAATGTGGAGAAGTTTGTTCCAGTAGGGGCGGTGACATCAACGCTTGTTTTAGAGGTTTGCGATTCAACTATTATTTTTTTTACCATGTAAGGTCCACACTGAGCTATATAGCTAATTTTCACAAGTAACCTGGCAACAAATGATAGCTCAACGAAGTGGCTTATCGCATGGGAATTTCTCTCAGCCAATTACTCTAAACGCATGTTGGTTCGGAGAAAAATCCTCGCAACTACGGGGAGAGAGACAAGCAAACTCCAAATATACAGCAGGTGTCAGGGTTGGAATCGAACCCACGGACGTCTTGCATACCAGGTGAGGTAATTATCATCTCGCTATCATGGCGCCCAGGTTATTACTGCGGTTGTATTAACCATAAATAAATGCTCCATCTGCTTCACGTGGATTTTAAAGAATCCCATAAATAAAATAATAAATTGTAATGTTATTTGATTTCAGTAGACAATTTTGCATCTCGTGCTAAAAAAATTCCACGTAAAAAAAATCACCTTCAAAGGAATCAATTGTGATTACACTTAGTAGCAGCAATCACCGCCCCCTACCGACAGACAAATGCTTAGCTCGCAGGCCAGGTTCTGAGTCACCTTGTGCCGCACAGGGACAGCTGCCACTGGGTTGGGGGGATCCTCTTCCAGTGTGTGAGATGAGATGCGGTGTAGAAGCGATGTGAGATGCCTCGACGAGAAGGGGGGCAGCCTCTATCAAAAAACAAATCCTCGTAACTAAATTATGATCGTGCAGAAATGCATCAATCACACGGTGTGGCATGGCTTTGTGCGGGAAGTGCTGAGAGGGCACGCTGGCCCGTGTCTGTGTGAGCGTATCGCCTCAATTGTGAATGCCACCCAGGTCGCTCTTGCAAGATGCATTGTTTCATGCGTCTCAGTGGGTTTATTTCATCTCCCGCTTAAGTAAGGATGACAACAACGATTCCGCAGACGTCTCTGCATTTCAAATGGGTGCCCCAGGTACGTCGCGCGGCGCGTTACACATCGTTGGTAGTTTATTGCATGGAATTCAGAGGCAAGAGTTGGTGGACCACCGTGGGTAAAGGGTTGGTTGCGGGTGTTTCCCTGGCGTGGTTCGTTGGATTGAGTGTTGGCAATCCATTAATCAGCTGCAACAGCATCATCAATTATCTTAAATTAACTAATCGCCACCGTCATTACAAAACCACAATCATGTTTTTTTTTCTAAATAGCATAGTCATTGTATTTAATTAACGTTGCCTTTGCCTTCATGCAGCACTAACTCGCACCCTTGAGAGTTTATTGTGAGTGAGTTCATTGCGAGTGAGTGAGTTCATTGCGAGTGAGTGAGTTCATTGCGAGTGATTGAGTTCATTGCGAGTGAGTGAGTTCATTGTGAGTGATTGAGTTGATTGCCAGTGAATTCATTGCGAGTGAGTTCATTGCGTGAGGTGAAGCGGTGGCACCCGATTGGTCGGCTTGGTGTGTCATGCGTGCATGTGACCGACGTCACAGCGTGAGGTCCCCGTTTTCTCCGATGCCGATTGGCTGCGGTGACTTGTTGCGGAATGGCACTTCGTCCGTCCATTGCATACGCCGAAAATTGAGACGTGAATTTCACGCTGGAAAAGTGTTAAGCGATAAACCGCCATGTGAATATCGCCTCACTATTTTTTCTTATTCCTGACACTTTCCTAACTCCCGAGGAAAACAGCGAAGAGCATCCTCCTCGGTGACACCCACTGGGAAGATTCCAATTGTATAGGGTCGATGATCCGCGCATGGCAAAGCCGCCACAAGTGTCGAGTGAACAAACCACGCTTGATGGCTCAATCAGGAGTAGACGCTTCCACGGACAACGCATGCCAGAGTCCTTTGCTTTCACTGGGAAATTGTGACAAGACAGGACTGGTGTTGACACCCATAGCAATCATGTCAGTAAGAGCTGTATGAAGCTGCGAAAGGAATGTCGGTGCGTTGCAGTGTCGAACACTACATGTATGTGAGTGTCAATGTGAAGCATCAGCAGGTCTCAACATGTTTTCCTTGGCGATCCTGATTGAGATGTTTGGTAAATGTTTGGTATTTCTACTTTAAGCATTAAGGGAATAATAGTCAAATTTCACGCAGATATGGAAGCTCTTGGAGTATTGGTCACATATTATTTCTTTGTAAGTACATTAATGCACGTTCAGATGTATTGAGGCACCCTTTAAATACATTCAGTGTACGTATATGCACTTACATATATTTCAAGAAACGCATATCCTCAAACAAGCTGAAATAAATCGTTAATATCTCAATTTATAAACAATGACTATGAAATGTGAAAATATATACTGAAAGAGGCTAACGCATTAAGTATTGGCCCTTCTCTAGAGCAGAGATTGCCAAAATGCCAAAGGATTATCATGCATACCACTTTTTTCTTTTTTACGTTTTACTTTCCCGTTGTACTGTACAACATGTATTCATGGGGCATGCAATATAAACACGCGCCGTCTCTTACTCCGTGTACATCGTGGTGTTCACCAGTGCCTGCGTTCCTAAATGGACTATTGGCGGTACACCGGTGCAGCATAACACACTGGTCCTCATAAAACTGTCCAAAATCTAAATTTGAAATGACTAAATTTATCTGTTTATCGATATTTAATTGATCCAGTCGCCAAGGTTTATTCAGTCTTATTAAGACGAAATACATCTGAATCGAGGGACCGCCCAACCAAGTCTAGGGCACGAGGAGTCAAATCTGCCTTTGGAACAGGGAGCCAATCATCATCAGGCTGGGTACTGCTATACGGCAACAGACTGAAGCTTCGTGTTCAGCAGCTCATAATGTTCGTCTTCCAACTGCTTCCACATCACGAGAACTGATTTGGACACACCACCCCACAAGAATTTCTGACCGGAGTTGCGAATCGCAGGAAATTAAATAATTATTGCTATTTTTTTACTTTTTGTTATACCATGCACCACTACCGGTGTACTGCAAATACATTCAACTGTCACTTGAATCCTGTTTCTCGAGTACTGACCATATCTCCCTATGTGCGTCTGTGACAGTCCAGCCGATTACCGTGGAAACGGACATCTACGTCAACAGCATCGGCCCAGTGTCAGCTATTAACATGGTGAGTAAGCCCGTTCGGCCCACAGTTATTTGTTTACTGTTTTTCATATTCTTTGGGTATTTCGGTAAATCTTCTTGGTTCTTTCGGTAAAGTCACGTAGAAGGGAAGTAATAAAATAATAAAAATAAAACATAATAAAATCAAATAATTCTTACGACGTTTCGGCTACAACGCAAGCAGCCGTCTTCAGGTGAAGAATGAAACACTGCCAAGCTAGGAGCTTATATATAAGCTGAGTTGGAGGTGGAAGAAGAAGAGAGCCTTAACAAAAGAATGTGCATATCAATAAGTTACAGCAGCAGATGTTAGTGTAAATGCGTTTGGTATTACCTTATTACCTCTGACCATTGCCATTCTTGGCTCGCAATGGAGTGTCATGGATATTTAGTGAGTTTTGCACTGAGACAGAACTCCTTGAACGGCAAAGTTTGAGTTGTTATTCTTGTGACCATACTCTTAGGTTTTTTTTCTTTCGGTAAAGTCACGTAGGTAAGAATAAATAATAAAAATAATAGAAATAATAGAAATAAAATTATAAATCACGACGTTTCGGAGGCAACACAAGTCTCCATCATCAGGTGGGACCGTCACGGCTAGATTTACTGTATCAAGTGAGGCAAAATTCCAAGAGACAAGCTCTTAAATACAAGTTGAGGGGGGGAGAGGGGAGGGGCTTATCTGAATGTGGTAGCCAATGAATAGAACGTGTTGGGGGGGTGGCTAAAAGAGAACAACAGGTGCACATGTTGTATTACCCGGTGTTGGTTGACAATCCAACTGCAAAAAGGAGAGTACTGTTAAACGCTGGGGATGTCATCAATCGGTAAAGTAGAAAAGTACCTGTCAAATAAGATGGTCCAAATATGTGTAGTTAAATGTTTTTTACATGGTTAATAACATCTTTCCAATGATTACTCAGTTTGTACCCATCATCACGGTTGAAGTTATGTCTGTGTTGTGACCAGATTTAAGATTTCTTGCAACTGTCTTCATTAATGCTGCCATATAACAGATGAGTGAACAAATTGGGAAATGGCCCTCATTATTTAGAACAGAAAGAAAGAACACGGGTGACATTTCGGCAAGTGTACTTGGCATTGTGCATTGTATATATCATTGACGACCTCACCGTGGAAGTGCCGGGATTCTCTCACGATGGCTGTCGACCACACTGAACCATGCTCGAATGCAGAATGGGAGATGTGCGTACACTGTGTTCCATGAATGAAAAATCTCAGATTCACCAATGTATGACTGTGGTGAAGCCCAAACAATCATACGCATCACTGACGAGTGCGCCATCCACGCACATACCTTGGCAGTATCGCTGAAATCCACACAGCGTCTACTGCTGCCTTGAAATGGTTGAAGGACCTTAATATTCAACTATAACATCTAAACAAACTTGCTTTCTTGCCATACGTTACAAGAATAATTTCAAACGTTGGTCAGATCATCATCAACAACTTTAGGTCACACCTTGTGTTACTATTTATATCCAATGGAGCAAGTTTTCAGATTGAACGAGTTTGCATTGCGTGGATATTCCTCCAGGAGCCCAGTAAGCCGGATCCTCTGGGTTTTCCCTCCATATTTAGAAACATGTGTTTAGAGCATTTGGCTGCTATAAAATTCCTTGCGATAAGCCACTTCGTTGAGCTATCATTTGTGGCCAGGTTGCTTCTGAAAAAGAGCTGTATCGCTTAGTGGGCCTTACCTGATAAAATAAATATCATAGTAAATAGTAGTATTCATAAAATACCAAGTACACTGCAAAAATAAGTATAACCACCGTGCTGTATTATCGACACATGTACAAATTTGGCTGCGGATCTTATAGTCTGAACCCAAGAAATCCCAAATAAGAAAATTACCCTCAACCAAATTATATACATATATGTACAGCATGTGTCACGTTGCTTGGGTAAACAAGGTCTGCCTTGTAAAAGATACATCGAGTAATAATGGAATTGCACCTAATTTAATAATAAAAATAAAGCATATTACCGCTGTGGCATTGTAGGGGTCATAATGAGTGTATAGCCCCAAGGTTAATTTCGCAGAGGCAACAAGGCACGAGGACCACTAATGGCTAAGGCAGGTTGGAGATCTTCACTGCACAGGAACTTCGAATGGATCTTCCGCGCTAACATTCCACGGTGGTAGAGCACTTTATGTGTTCGCGAACCGTCGATCGCCAGAAGCATAGACCTGAAGGCCCACAACGTCAAAGTGGCCAGCAACAAAGAGCACTATCAAAGTTGGCATAGATGAGCGTTCACGCATTGCTTGGATTGAGCAAGGATGTGGAAATGAGACAATAGGGACGGATTTCCAAAGTCGAGCTGTGTGAAGTGCCGCGTCCTGAAGTGCGGTGGTTCAGCACCGTATGGATGAGACGACTCAGTCTGGTAGACTCAGTCGACTCAGTCTCGCAGCTTGGGTGACTTGAGTACTCAATATGGAATGGGGGAATCGAGGAATGAAGTTCATGGGAACGGTAAACATTATAGTAGCAGTGAAAGAGTGATACGGAGGTGACAGACTGCCAGTGAGCGAGTGACTCAGTGAGTGCTGGATCATCAATCACCCTGACTGTTTCAGTATGAACTCTATCTGATACAGTGGGGTAGGAACTTGGTGCGCCACCCCAGTTATGACAATTATTATCCCTGACATCACACTGTTACTATGCAGCCCTCACATTCACATCGACACGCTTTGACAATGGCGGAGAGCTTCAGATTATTATTTGTCCATGGAAACACACCACTTATTAAGTGCAGTGCTTGATAAATTAAACTGTGATGATGCAGCAGTTAATTGTGATAACCACGGACATGCCTTGCTCTGGCAATAGCAGCTCCTTTGACTCGTGGTCATGGTAGGACATAATGCTCTCCGTTATGAGTCATAGATTTCTCTTGCAACGATGTCGCTGTCGTATAAAAAGTTGTGGCAACAAACCATTGTGAATCTCCGAACATAAGGGGCCATCCATTTAGTACGTATGCATGGAGGGGGTTTAACCCAAATGCGTACGCTTGCGTATGGGGGGTCTACTGACAATGTACGTAGCATAGCAAACGGGCGGGGGGGAGGTGAAGCCTCGATCATAATTTGTCTACATTGGCCTTCAAATGAGCCACAGTTCAATTTCTTCGGCTGTCAGACAAGTTCTACCAGGAAAGGTAGAACTGTGGCAGAGGTGTCACTTGTATGCCACCGTACCCCTGACTGCTCGCTATCACGCAGCTCAGCAAAATGAGTGGCCAAGGTACGCAACTTAATTATTTAATGCAGCCGGCGGTGAACTATCTGTTTGCTTAAACACATTAATATTATTCATCCTTGATCATTTCTGCGTGTATTAAATATCGGCCGTTCTATAGGATTCGGGGCGGGGGGGGGGGGCATCAAGCATACGTATGCAGGTTGGGGGGGGGTGTAAAAAGTAAGCGTGCGTACAGGGAGGGGGGGAGGGGTCAAGTTGACAGATTTTTGCGTACGTACTAAATGGATGGCCCCTAAGCAGATCTTGAATATGTGAACCAATTTCAAGCAAAGGACAGTTGGTCGTCTATCTCCCGATTATGATCCTAGAGCCCTGCTTCTATGTTTATGGTGCAGTTTTCAGTGGAGAATTTAACCTGCGACTCGTTCGTTTTTACTAGATGCTTCATAGCCAGGCTAGCCCTTAACTTATTAAGCTCGCTACAATCGGTTTTGCCCATTTCACCAGAATTTGTAGGTTCAGTTATTTCAGCTGCATAATAATTTAGACTGGGAATTAACAAGGTATGCCCTCTGTCTCAGGATAGGTGTAGGGGCCGATGTCCACCCGACTGCCCTCGGCGGGCAGGTGGGGCGCGACGTCCGCCCCTTCCACTCCCTCCTCCACTCCTTCCTCCACCGTACCGATCGGCCACCGCCAGGCCCCCGACCGGGTGATCGGCCCCCCTGCGTTAGTGCCCCCTCTGAGGGACATAGCTCAATAGCTAGCTCACTGCCGCACGGGGTTATTCCACACACGCCCACGTACACCACCCCCATTGCTCACTCGGCGGCGAGCATGCGCGCGCTTCTGCCAATGATCAGATTCTAATATGCGCCCGCACTAAGACTCGCATTAAACGGCTGCGTGAATACGTGTGCCAGCGGGTGGTTATTCGCTGCCCCGCACCCGCGCTAAGACTCTCTCTAAAGCGGCCGTGTGAACATGCGCACGTCAGTGGGCAGTGGTATCCAAAACCACGCACGCACTATGACTAACGCTATGGTGGCAATGCGAACACACGCGTCCCTGTTGACGATTATACTCTAATACGCGCACGTACCACAACTAGTGCTACACCGGTGGCGCAAACATGGGCGCTCCTGCAGGCGATTATTTTAACGAGCACTCGTGCTGGGGTTCTACCCTCACTCTCGCCGCTCGTCCGCTCACGCAGCCGCTCCACAAACACACACAAATCACACTGCATCGATGCTCTGTACGAACGTTTATTCATGGCGCAAAAACCTTGCACTGTCTGAAGGAAATATTCTGTGAGTAGAGCCTATCTTATCACTACCCAATTCCCCAAGTACTTACATGCCCTGTTACGTACCTCGCAGCCGTTCTCACGGCGTCACACAGACACGGAGAGAGGCGGAGGGATGGGAGAGATCCTTGTCTATCGTGGTCACGTGGCGGCTCTCGCTGGAATCTCACGGACGCTGCGAGCGGCTCCAAGAGACAGGCTGGCAGGGAGTCGTTCTGGGTCACCAAGCGGCTGGAGATCAGAAGTCTCTTAACCATTTTCGGCTACCCTTTTTATACCCTGTGATTTCGAAAATCCAGAGTTACGTTATGTTATCCTGCACAGCCAATCGTTCGCCTACCTTTTGATTTTCAAACGTTTCTATGCCGTTACCTAGAGCATTACATTACGCTATTTTCCAGGCCCATTGTCTTTGCACCCGCATTCCTTACCCCTGACTCAGCCAGTTTAATCTGG